GCGGACCTGACCTAGGGTGGATTTTATACTGGGTTTTTTAGGAATTTGAAAGACGCAACTCTAAATTTGGTTTAATTCGGTTTTAAGGGGGGGATTGTATATATGTTTTGGTTTTAAGTATGTTGTGCGCCGCCCTGAGTCCCGTCGGGAGAAGGGCGGCATATAAATTAAATTAAATAAATAAATAAATAAATAAATAAATAAATAAACCCCTAGGTTGAATTTATGAATAGATGAACACTACAATGCACGTATAATGGGGGCTCCCTTTCCTCTCCTTCCTTCTGCAACCCTCTTTTCAATTTGACTTTGAAGAGTTCACCATCATCTCCAGCAGACTGTGACTACTGTGTGTAAATTTATGATTGCATCAGCACTTTCAGTTTAGTGCAGAACTAGGAGTGAATATCAATTTTATTTCTATGCAAAGTACAGGAATTCCTCGGAATTAGGAGGATACAGTATACGATACTTCTCTCTTTAGAAAATAAGCATGCACATCAGGAGTATGTCACACGTAGCCAAACAAAATATTACTAGAGAACAATTCCCATAATCCTTCCCTACTGGCTATGTGTCCAGAAACAAAGCTAGTTAGCTGCTTATCCCCAATTTATACAGTTTGAAGAGCAATATTTGGGTGTGGTGTTTATCAGTCCCCTAATCATCTTTGTTGCTCTTCTCTGTTGAGACTCTAGAAAGAGTACAGAGAAGAGCAACAAAGATGATTAGGGGACTGGAGGCTAAAGCATATAAGGAACGGTTGCTGGAATTGGGTATGTCTAGTTTAATGAAGAGAAGGACGAGGGGGGACATGATAGCAGTGTTCCAATATCTCAGGGGCTGCCCCAAAGAAGAGGGAGTCAAGCTATTTTCCAAAGCGCCTGAAGGCAGGACGAGGAGCAACGGGCGGAAGCTAACCAAAGAGAAAAGCAACCTAGAACTAAGGAGAAACTTCCTGACAGTTAGAACAATTAACCAGTGGAACAACCTGCCTCCAGAAGCGGTGAATGCTTTAAAGAAGAAATGTTTTAAAGAAGAAACTGGAAATGTTTTAAAGAAGAAACTGGACAGCCATTTGTCCAAAATGGTATAGGGTTTCCTGCCTGAGCAGGGGGTTGGACTAGATGACCTCCAAGGTCCCTTCCAACTTTATCATTATTATTATTATTATTATTATTATTATTATTATTATTATTATTTGGAAATACACATTATTTCCTGATCACAGCTGGAACACCAGTTGCGACCATCCTAGAGAGGGAAAGAGCAGTCTCACAACTATGCCCAATATATGTCCTGCAGATTTAAAGGATAAACCATCCAAATTCCAATAAACGTTGTGATGTGGTCAGAATTTCCACATAGACAATTGCATGGAAAGTAAATTAAAGAAACTGTTGATTCTAGTTATCTGACCAATATTTCCCTTCCCCTGGAAGGAAGAACACATGAAGAAACAATAAGAAATCTTATCAAACCACAGATACTTTGTGTAAACATACATTACTGTTTTTTTTTTCAATAGCAAAATGTTCCCTCTGCCACAGACAAAGATCTAGGGATCTAGAAAGCTTTTTCTCCATTTCTTTAGCAATTTTCAGATACTCAGCTATCCAACGCTTTCCCATTCACCAACAAAGGAGGGTAGATACTGCAATTCCCCGAAAATACAACCCACCCAGAAAATAAGACCTAGCTTGATTTTTGGGGTTGGGCCTAATATAAGGCCCTACTTAAGACCCTGTCCACTCCGTCCTACTGTAGGTTTTTTAGCGTGCTGGATTGTGTGCCTGCCCCCCCCCCCACCTTGCCTGCTGCTGGTGCCACCGCGGCGAAGTGGCCTGAACGTTAAGAGAGCTGGGGCCTGCCTCCTTTCTATCCCTGCCCTGGATTGGGGAATCCAGTGGGTAGGCGGGGGTGGGGACTGGCCGGGGCCTCAACCAGCAACTTCTTCACCCTCACCCTGAAGCAGCTTCTGAAGGCAGCCTGCACTGGCCCGTGGGCTTTGCCGGCTTTCTCTTTCTCTGCGGAAGGGCGAGAAAGAAAGCTGGGCATCCCAAGATGTCCCACTCTGGGTGGCGACTCAGGTTTCCCTTGGTGGGGGAGGAAGGCTTTGGAAACTGCCGTTTCATTTACATTCATCATCAATATTGTAACCCGTCCCTTTATTTTTCAAAAAATGATTTGTATTTACGAGTAGCCTCCTTGATCGCCAACGGGAAGGCGCGGTACAAATTCTGCGCATGAGCCGCGGAAATAGAGACACTCGCACCCTCAAAGCTCACGCCGCTTCCTCGCTCAGGGCGCACCACTGGTTTATGTGAGTATTCAACTTTGTGGCTCAGTTAAACTCTTCGGCTGCGGCAGGCTGCAGTTCCCATCAGCTTCAGGAAGCTGTAAATGAAAAGGCAGTTTCCAAAGCTTTCCTCTCTCACCGAGGGAAATCTGAGTCGCCTGGTGGGTTGGGGCACCGGCCAGGCTGGGCCTTGTGGTGAAAAAAATAAGACAGCCTCTAAAAATAAGTGCTAATGGGTCTTTTGGACCGAAAATAAATATAAGCCCCAGGCTTATTTTGGGGAAAACACGGTACATAGTTGCTAGTAGTGTATTACCTGAAATGACAGCTATCTTCCATGAGCCATGCTCTTCCTTGGCAATTCTCTCTGCCTCCTCCATAAGCAGCATCCCAAATCCCTGGAGAAAAAAAATAGTACAAAGGCAGGAAATGTAAGTTTCCAGAATACAGGGAGCTTATAATTTAAAAATTAGCTGGCAGAACACTTAGAAGGTAATATGGTAAACTATGGAGAGGCAGATAGGATTGAGGAAAAGGGAAAAATGATTAAAAACAACTCAAGCATTTCCTTATTTTTAATAAATAGCTCTTATGGGATAGCTGCATTGATCTGTTACAGGAAAAAACAAACAAACGAGAATAAAAAACAGAAAGGAGAATGTTGAGACAGCCTTTATCAGTACAACATATGTCCCTCTGAACTAGTACATGAATGCCCACTATGTTGGCTTGTAAGATTGTCTGTAGAGATCCTACCTTGCATAGAAAGAATAATGGGAGCATGATTGGACAACATTGGCACCTATAGAACACGAGCAATTGAAATAGATACAATATTTAGCATTAGCAAATAATGCTGCCTACAGCACGGCTATGACTCAAGCTCATAATCTAGTCTGTATTTTCTCTCTCTTTCTAAAATGACGGCCTGAAAGCCTCATTTGAACAAAGCCATGATGGATGTCAGGTCAGGATCTATAGGCAGTATGGCAGAGTGAGATGCCCTGATTGGGACAGAAATGTCAAGTAATCTGAAAGTTAAAGCTTTTTCCCTATATGCTAAACCCTGCAAAGTGCCACATCAATCCTAGAAGCAACTTAATTAAATGCCTGAGACCAGGCATGTCTAAATTTTAGTGAAAGTGTATAAAAGGGATAGGTTTGTTAAGATATGAAGGTTGTTTGGGACTTTGCTGGCACTGTATTTGAACTGTGTGAATTGGAGGTGGTATGTGAACAGAGGAAGAGGAGGAGGAGGGAGGGGGAAGGTGGAGGTGGAGGAGGAAGAAGAAATAGAAATAATAATAATAATAATAATAATAATAATAATAATAATAATAATAGTAGTAGTAGTAGTAGTAGTAGTAGTAGTAGTAGTAGTAGTAATTCAGGCAGGCAGAGTTGGAGGAAGAATCTGCAACTGACAACCCAACAAGAGCAAGCAGGATGAGAAAGAGGTTTGGCTGTGGGGACCAGCTGGTGAAAAGGCTGGGTACTTGCACCACATCCTTGGGTGCCCTCTATGACCCCTGCAATTCCTCTCCTGCACCCCTATGCACTCTGCTTGACTTGCATCACATCTCTGTGTCCCCTTCCCTACCCATGCCATCTCTCCCACACCCCCACCCCCACCTGTCTCCAACTGTGCTGCAGTCCCATACACCTTCCTGACTATTGTGCAGCACCTCACACATATCATTCCCAACTTGGGCTCCACCCACTAACATCCTTCCCAATCTCTACAGCACTTCTTGAGCACCCTTCCTAACCCACCCAGCACATCTCATACAACCCTTGCACCCTTCCAGATCTGTGCTGCAGAGGTGAGCGAGAGACACCATATGGATCAGGAAAGTGCACAAGAGGTGCTGTGCAGGTTGGGGAGGGTATGTGGAGGTGGGCAAGAGACACTGCATAGGTCGGAGAAAGTACATAGGGAAGTGGCAAGGATTGCCATAACAGTGCTGATCCAGCAGGTCACATGAGGTTTTAGTAATAAACATTACTGTAGTTTAGAGAAAAATAGTACATGTGTATTTCTGCAGGAGTGTGAGTGGCTAGAAAATTTCTTTCCTTTTTCCAAACCTTTGATAGGCAAACACACTGTTAAGGCCACACTAGTGAAGTTCATGACATATGGAACCGTATAACTTTTTAAAAGCAGTAAATAGTGAAGAATGTGACTTAACGAATGAAATGAAGAAATAAAAATAGAGTAAACGCTTGATTTAACAGACTAATTGCAAATCTGTTAAAGCCTAGTGTCCATTAATGGGATTTTATGCATGAGTAAAATGTACATAGAGTCTGTAAACTGTATACTATGTACATAAAACGTAGATAATGTATGTGCATTGTCCAGATTGATTTGCAAACAATAAAGTGTAACCTTAGATTTTGTCTGTTACATTTGAAATCAAAGTCCATAAATTGAAGGTTGACTGTGGATATGTTAAGTGTTTGTGGAACTAAAAGAAAGGGGAAAGATATAATAGACTTGAATAAAAGTGGTCCAATCTTGCGAAGTCGAAATATATACGTAAGGAAATGAATGAACTAAAATCTATCTCAGAAAATATGAATTGATATTATCCATGACTTTGTGGCTGTGAATCAAAGTAAGAATTCATAGTTTGATGAAAGCATGTTTTGATGAATAATATGATAATGGAAGAACCAAGGATGAGTTTGGGGAAAAAATTGGACAACATTGTAAATGAATGCAATCTGAAGGTAAGTATTATTCTGTTAGATGAAATGAATGGATGGGTGGAAACAATCTAAAAACAAATTGTGCCATCTTGAGATACAAGAATGGATGAGAATGTGATGGCTTGGTGATGGCTTAGAGAAAGATATTGTTTCAAATATGTTATTTACACATTACTCATTTCTGCAAATGGAAAATAAATTAATAGAAAATATTATTGATATGCTTGCTTATAATGAAAAACAAAACATCAATGAAAGCTACATTGGTAATGAGATATTCTGGATATGGGACAGACCATTTTTTGGTAAAGTCAGGAATATTTCTGGGAAAATAGACATGGAAGGAAAAGAAAGATGTGACAACATGAGTGAAAGCTGAATGCATGCAGAAAGAGAAAATATTAATCATAAAGTATTAGACTTTATTTTTTAAATTTCCTGACAAAATGTAGAAAGAGGGTGTGGTAGCCGCTTGGAACAGAGTAGAAGAGATTATTTTATAGAATATCACACAGTTGTCTGGAGAAATATGAACAAAGATCTTTGTTGGCCTGCAGAAATAAAAAGGTTCTGGAAATGCAATTACTGTAAGGGAATATTAATGCAAAAAATGAGAATGAAAAATATTGCATGTCAATAGAGGATAAAATATAGTTTCAAGAAATATAGTGAGAGAACAAGAAATAAGATTAAGAAGCAGAGAGAAGGCAGAGTGATTTTAATGGAAATAATAATTTGGGTGAAGGGGGCTAAACAATGAGCTTCCAACATAGTGAAAGGAATTAAAAATAATAGAAATCAAATGATGTGGAAGGAAGATGAAGTAAGAGAATGATGAAGGAGTATTTTAGGGATCTATATGTGAATGAAATAAATATGTTGAAATATAAAACTGAAGTGAATATTGTATTAGTGTCCAGGAAAAAAAGAGACGAAATACAAAGGCAATAAAAAATGCTGAAGAATAATAAGCCTGCAAGTGTAGATGGGGCAATTAGAAAAATATTAAAATATGGATATGGTTTGGTCATGGAGTGGCTGTGCAATTTGTTTAATATAAGCCAGGGTGGAGCAGTTATTAGAATGTAGTATTGCAGGCTAATTCTGCAATATGCTGACATTTGTAAAACACTCAGAGTGCTGTAAAGCAGGGGTCCCCAAACCTTGGTCCGTGGACCAGTACTGCGGCGCGGCATGCCCGCAACCGGTCCACACAAACAAAGAAAGCCCCATCTACAGGATGCAGGGAACACACAAAACCATGCCGCCTCTGGTCTGTGGAAAAATCTCTCTCCACATAACCGGTCCCTGTGCCCAAAACGTTGGGGACCTCTGCTGTAAAGCACTATGAAGTGGTATATACCGTAAGTGCTATTGCTATATGATTGTGACGACTACACCTATGTATGGCAACTGGAGGAATACCTTGACTCTTCCCATATACACAAGAAAAGATAACAACATTGAATGCAAAACTATATAGAGAGGTAACTTGCCATGTCTGCTGGGAAAGTGTTTGAGAAAAATCTAACTGAAAGAGTATAAGAGTGACAATGAGCAAAACTTGGGAAAGGCAGTATGGGCTTTATGCTGTGTGGAGTAGGTAGTGACCAGATTTTGGCATTTTAGTAACTCACTGAGAAAGTATGAATGGGAGAAAGTTTATCGCATGCTTATTGATTTAGAGAAAGCAAATGATGAAATGAAAATAGAATTTGAGATTAATTGCTGAATATTTATTTCTAAAATTAATTTGCCACCCACCTTGTATCCAACGACTCTGAATATGGTGAAACGAAATGCTTAATGAATTGTTCAATTTTTGATTGGGGAATAAGACAAAGATATGTGATCTCATGCCGTTTTTTAAAATATATTTATGGACAAATACATAAATTGTAAACTGTAATTTTCACCCATGTAATGGAAGCAAGGTTGGTTAAAAAGGACAGAAATGCGTGGAAAGGTGCAGTGAATGCTCATGGTATAAACTAGATTCATATAATTTTTCTTTTCTTCCCTGTCTTTAGTTTTCTTTGTCTATTGCTTCTTACTTTTTTTTCTGCATTGTGGATAGGGTCGCTTACCCCAACAATGAATAGTATATATGTACAGAGTTAGTTTTGCCTCAATTAAGCTAGAAGCCTTGTAATTAATTAAATTTCAGGACAGTACTGTGAAACTGCCTAAGGTGCAAACATGCTATATACAGTATACTACTGAAATCCTATTATCTATTATCTAGATACTTTTGCCCACTATACTACAAAACGTACCACCAGATTCCTAGAATATAGCAGTAACTATTTAACTATTACCAGAAGGAGCAGAAGAAAAGAGTTTCCCCAGGCTGCGAACCACTACCTTTGTCTTCTGAAGGAGTACAAGAGGTCCTCTGGCGATATTTCATTTTTCATTTTATTATATTTATACCCCGCCCTTCTCCCGTAGGACTCAGGGCGGCTTACAGCCAGTTAAAAACAGTTTAATACAATACAATACAAAGTTTTAAAAAATCATTAAAAATAAATATTTAAATCGGCCGCTTCTACTAAAATTTGGCTAAAACCAATTTAAAATACCCCTAGGCCAGTCCTGCCCG